AATATCCATAAAAATAAAAACTCCCAGTACGTTTAACAAGAAAAATAACTAGAAAAAAACATTTCTATGTATTTATTGGATTTAATTATATGGACTTATCACATTTTCTTCACATCAAGCATACAATCTTAAATCCGGTGCATGAGTGAAATAAAACAGGAAACCAAACAATCCAAAGACAATCATGTGAAGCACAGAGAATCCCTCCTTTCCAAATGTTTCTGGATTATATAGTGAGTACATCTATTCTTTTGCTTATACTTTTGCCACAGTTACAAAAATAAGATACATTACTGTAGATGCACAATGATATATACGAGGTGAAACAAAACACAAAAGCTGTACAGTCCTCATTGAGGGCAAAGACACACAAATAGAAAAAGAAATTAAATAGTTAATGTAAAGACTGAAGAATTGGATTACCTTTTCAGAGTACAGGAACGAACAAATTCATAGTTCTTAAAAAAAAGAGAGAGAAATATACATGTAAATAATACATAGCATGTCACATTTGAAGTTTCATTGAATATATTGTATTGGTCCTACGATTGAAGAGACATCCATGATTTAGGCTGAACACTGTCAGAGACAGTAAAATTAAATATACACCCCAGCAGAAGAGGTTGTTTGCAAATTCGCAAACCCAGGAACACACGCCTTCCCAAAAATAAATAAGTGCACATTTCTGCAAGAGAGCTGGAGAATGGAGTTATAGTTGAGCACAGAGAATATTGCTGGAGGTTGTCCATGACACTGACGCTGCGAGGCCTCAGTGTTAAACCGAGTGAATAATGACTGAGGTTGGCCTCATTTCTACCTTATCATTATTAAAGACATGAAGCGAGCCCAGATTTAGAAAAATAAACATGTAGATAAGAAATAAATTATTACTGGCGTTTATGTTTATATTCATTTAAGGGAATGGGATTTGGTGTGGGTGTTGCATAATTTCACAGGATATAACATTTTTACTAAAACTAAAATAACATTTTTACTATTATACTCTTCCAGTTGTGCGCCCCTTTGACCCCAAGTCACAGACACAACCAGTGACGTGGTCGCATACTTGGCTTTTTCAGTCCAAACCAGTTTCCTACAGACTGCTACACTACAGAACACTTACAGGACTAGAAGGAGTGCAGCGAGGGAGGAGCTTCCACTGCAGTCCCTGATAAAACTGTTGAATCACTGAGGATTTTAGTTATTATATCACAACACATCAACCCTCCTCCTCCTTTCTTTACATACTTGAGCATCAAAGCGTATGCACCGTAGTTTTCTTACATCACTTGAGACAATTTAAACTTCACTAATAACTGGCTTAGATATTCACATAATACAGTATTAATACAGTTTGAACCCTTTCTTAGTAAATAGACCAAAGAACAGCAGAGAACAAGATTGCTTCTCATTTTGCATCGGACAGGTTTATTGACCTCTGTGTTAGGAGTCATATTAGTGTTTATAGTTACCTTTGGTTTCTAAATCTCATACGATGGTTCATGCATACACAATGTTAAAAAAAGAAAAGAAAAATATTACCACAAGTCGTCTGAGGTCGGATGTTTGAGGACATGACGGGGACGGAGTGTCTCTACAGGTAGTGGTTAAAAACAAAAACCTGTTAAACATAGACAATTTGTTAAATAAATTGAAGTAAGAATAAATTATCAACACCTAAGTCATGCTTGATCTACAGTCGCTAACAAACATGAAGCAAAAGTCCAGAGGAAAAAGGCTTTAACTACTGGAATGTTTCCACGTGTGTGAGAGGAAATGTGAATGTGTGGAGTCGTTCTAATCGACTCTTAATGTGACTGACAGCAAACGGAGACAAAAACGATCGAAAAGCAACAGCATTATCTTAACATCATCGTAACACTTGGTAGGTGAATACTCGCCCTAATTTTTTTTTTTTGCCAATACTGTCCATTTTTGTCTTGCTGCGGTTTTGACTTGAAGGTAGAGGGAGTTTGAATTAGGAATGTTTAGGAGAACATGACTGGGAAATACTGTAAGAGTGGGCGGCCACTGTTGCAGACACAGCTGGGAGTGGGTACATCCTAGTGTGGCAGTGGGACCAGGATGTCCACGTAGTTGATGGGAAAGAAGCCGGAGTTTCCATGCAGCATCCCCTCGTACCAGTTTTCATCGATCTTGTTGGTGAGGGTGATGATGTCGCCTTCTTTGAAGCCCAGCTCGCCTTCATTTTCAGGGTCAAAATCATACAGAGCCCGACAGCAGGGCTGGTCCATGGGTGCTGCAGTGAAGAGAGACAGGTGGACGGAGGTGAAAGACTAATTCAGGCAGAAGGATAGATTTGGATTAAATGACTTCATCGTTTCAAAAAAGTTTCAGAACCACTCACCTGGAGATCGGGCTGAAGGTGTTGAGAGAGTCGGAGGAAGCACGAGGGAGGGGACAAACCAAAGAAGAAGTAAGAGAGATCATTACTTATTGCAGTTATACTTGGACAGACATGTTTTATTTTAAAAAAAATGTTTCCTGTTACAGGTGGTCCTCGATTTACGACGTTCTCGACCTATGGTGGTTTGTGCTACATTCACTTTCTTTTGTTTTTTTTTTGCCCTTCATCATGGCTCCCAGGTGTAAGTCAGACTCCACTGATGTTTATGTCCTAGATTCCTTAGTGATTCCCAACCACTGTGCCGTGGCAGACCGAAGGTGAGGTTGCAAAAAATTTTTGTTTTGTTTGTCAATGCGTGACATGCAGAACAATTTAATCCCCTTCCACTAGATGGCAGAAAATGGCCATGGAAACTAAAAAAAAAAAGTGAATCAGAGCTGTCGAAGGAGATCTTTATGAGTGTCTTTCTTCAATTCCTGCGAGTATATCAGCATGTGTTCAGGCTGAGATTTTAGTGAAGTTTGTCAAATTTTAGTTTGGTGGTGTGCCATGGAGTTTTCCTAATGAAAAATATAGACCGCAGCACAAACAGTTGGGAAACACTGTCCTAGATTATGATGTTACGACTGAGTTAGCGTAGGTGACTGCCATGGTTATTTATTTACAGTATGTGAATTCAGACTTATGGCCAAAATTGAGTTACGAAGCACCGTAGGAGCGGAACTGTAAGGTCGAGGAACCCTGTACTGCCTTTGACACTGTCACAAAGTCTTTGGAGAAAACATGAATACGTTTCAGATGGATGTGACTGACTTTGAGGAGTCACATATTGCTCCTTCACTATTTTGAAACTTAATTCTGTAGAGGTGAAAAAAGCTTTAAAATTCCAACATGACCCAACCAGTGTACAGAACATGTAATGAATTTGTTCATCACGTCCATCGTACAAAAGGCTTTTCCTTTTGGGATAAAGATGTGTGTGTGACTAAGCTTGCACTTAAAGCCGCAGGCTGGTATGAGGCAAACTCTACTGGTAATTTCTTTTGTAACTGGAACTCACAAACTAAGAGCTGAAATTATTTTTGCTTTGACAAATTAGATCACGACACACACCCATGACATGGAGAGGAAGATTTTTGGCTCCGAGCAAATGTCAGACTCCAAGAAGTTAGTGCTTCAGGACATTACCATGTGACACGTGAGTGAGCCCCACGGATACTGGTATGTTGATTTTCTCACATTTGTACCAGCAACATTTTTTAGCCTTGATTACAGTATAAGACACATGGTAATGTGTTTTTCAAACAATTCCATGACCTTGTTTAAAGGAAAATATGATTTTGTTTAATGAGGGCAAAAGAGGAAGCAGAGGTTAGAAAGAAACAGCACTGCAGACGAGGTGCACTGCAAACACCAAAACACCAGTCACATAAAAAAAAGCAATAATTAAAAAAGTGATGGAAAGATTTTTGCATCTCTTTCCAAGTCACTTTTGCTCACCTGGAGATCTTGCTGCAAAGAGGGAATGAAAAAACATGTTGAATAATCAGCCCAGAAATGTATTAGTATCAGATTAGAGACAGTGACGGTGTATCAGTGTGAGGAAAAAGGGAGAAGGGTGTTGAAGGAGAGGGAGGTGATGCATGGAGTGGACACTGAAATGAAAGAAAGTTAAAAAACAAAGATGGAATAAAAATGAGAGAAGATTCAAACAGAGAGAAAATTCTCATTCCCTCCTAATCGTCTCCCTGTTTCAGTCCACAGTGGGTGGACAACACTTGTCTCTCTGCTGTTTGAATCTGCTGATATGATCAGAAGGGAAAATGACCAAGACCCATGAGATGGAGTCATGGAGGAGACATGGTTTGATCCCAGGATTCACTTATGTCTCACCTGGAGACCTTGCTGCAAAGAGGAGGGAAAACAAACAAACAAAAAAAACAAACAAACAGAAAAAGTTCTTGGTGGAAATGAAGCGATGGTTGGATGTAGAAACAAACTGAACAGAACAGACACAGAGACAAACAGACACCTGGCTCACCTGGAGACCTCGCCCCTAAGAAAACAGAACCATAAAAGACAGAGGGAAGTGCAGAGATGTATTTACTGGTTCAACATTAAGGGTTCATCTTTCAACGGAAAAAAAATTAAAGAATTAATTAATTAGAACAGTTAGCAATGAAAGTGCCATAAATTCTCATATGTTTTTTCAAAAATGTATTCTGAATGGAAAGAAAAAATCCAAGTTAGACTGTCAGCTGTAAAATAATCTACATTTCTATTTGTTCTTGGTAATTTTAATATTTAATTGAGTGCCATTTTATTTTAATGTTTTTATGCAAAAGGTGAATTTTATTAAATTTTATCATAACAGTGATCTGTTCTCTAAGATCAATGTGGTGAACCATATTCAATTGGTTAGAAATACTGGGTAAATGCTGCATATTTACTGTTAGCCAATAACATCAGACCTTACTTCATATTGAGAATTTATGGCAAATATTAAAAGTTCTTAAAAAAGATGAAAAATAAAAAACATTTCACCAGTTTTGGTCTTTGTTTCCATATGTCTTAGAATCAAATCCTGTTTTTACATAAATGGTAAACCGTGATGCGTTCACTGAACCAGATTTCTGGTTTCTGATTCAAATGTTCTGGCTCTCACCTGGAGAACGAGCACCGTGGATCCCTCCATTGTGGTTCTCACTGAGGGAAATGTCCAGAGATGTACGGGGCTTAGCAATAAACTCTTTCCTGGGTTTGTTGGAACTGTCCCTTATCCTGAAGTTAAATCAAAACACAAAAACACAGAAGTCCTAAATATAAGTTATGAAAAATCAAACATTCTCCTGCATTAAAGTTCCCTCAGGACTGACCGCTCGTCAAGGTTATTGGAGAGCTGTGTGAGGATCTCTGCAGCCCGACTGTGGTACTGCACCTGGGCGTGGACCAGAGCAGCTAGCTGGCTCACTTGTTCAATCTGAGGATCGACGGGGGAAAAAGAAAAAAATTAACTGGACAGTCATGACATTCTCTAATCCATTTAAATGTCTAAAAACATGATTATAGTTATTTTAAAAAAAAAGTAGTAATAAAAACAGTCACATCATTGTTGGCCTTGTTCACAGGCCCATAACATTATTATTTTGACAGAAGAAAGTCTAGTCTACTTTGATGAGTTGAGGGTGTCGTTAGGCAAAAGGAGGGTCACGGGCTGGACGTGAACCATAGTGTTAACACCCCAATCTATGTTTATTTATATATTTTTTATGTTTGCTTTGTTGACTAATCAATCTGTTATCTTTAAGTGTTTTTGTACCAGTTTTGAGCTTAAAATTTCAATAATAAATAATAACTCAGTGACCGCAGTCAAAGAGATGGTGAAAAGACGTTATTAGAATTGGTCACATCAACCATTAAGTCATTCAAATGGTTTAGTCACCATTAACCCAAATGGTTTGGTTTGTGGAAGAGGATTTGTCATTTAAATTTAACCTGTTCATTGTTGACATGAATTGTTAAATAATCTTAGATAATCAATTAAAAGTATTGATAAAATAATTATGTAACAATCCTTCCTGTCAGAAATACATGTTTAAAGAACATTTCGTTTATGTGGATTAATATGAACAGAAAGAATAAAGTGAAGCTTCACCAGAGGCTTCTAGAAATGGACGTGTTAGTGTCCGTGCTGATGCTTACGTCACTCTCCAGAAGGTTGAACATGCTCTGCTCAGCAATCTCTTTGGAATCATCGAACTTCTCCAGCGCCTGTTTGATCTCGTCGTCTGTCACTTTGCCCTGACGTTTCTTCTTGTAGTCGAAGTCCAGACGACGGCCCTCCATCTTCTTCAGGTGATGCTGCATGAGTGGACCGGACGTCAGTAGGTGAACTTTTGACCTTTAGACGGCCACAACATCATAATGCTAAGGGATATTAGTGTGTGTACCTGGATCTCCTTCAGATCTTTTTCATGGAGGTTCTGCAGCGGATCAATAAAGTTCTGTTTGACCTCCATGTCCAGAGCGTCTTTAACTTCTCCCAGTTCACGCATGGACTCACCAGCATCAATGAGGGCGATGCCTGAAAAATATACAGGTTTAGAGCGTAAGAGAGAAAAAAAAAGCATCTTTTATTTCCTCTATCTCTAACTCATTAGAATCTTTAGTACTTTATTACATTAACATGACAAAGGCGTCAGCGTATCATCACAGTGGTAACTGGTAGTTTAGGGCTTAGTAAATACACCCCGCCCCCCTGTTTCCCCCTCCTCCCCCTTCAGCCAGAAGCTTTGATATTGTGCAGCTCACCAAAGGTCGACTCCTCTCCGAGCTCCCTGCCAAACCTTTGCATGGCCTCTCCCAGGGTGGTCTCAGTCTGAATGTAGCCCGGCCCCTTCTCTTGGCCCCGCATACGTGACATGGAGCTCATCATGCTCATCTTGGCTCTCGTGGCTGTCAAGAAAAGTAGTGAAAAGTTGCACTAAAGGACAAATTCAGCAAGTCCAGTTATGTCTAAACTGTTGACAGAACAGAACGGTGCTGATGAAAAAACATCGACTCAAATTACTGTGGTGTTGTGAACTCTGTCATGTAGGTTAGGAGATGAAGTAGGAGAAGAGAAGTAGGAGGTTAGCAGTGAACTGTGTGAGACATTCACTGAACTCTGTAAATTCCTAAACTGTCTTAATAACATGTTAACGTAACAAAGCGAAACACTGATGAACTCTTTCTACCACAAATACAGAAATACTTGTTCACCTGGGTTTGGCTGCAGATACTCGGTGGTCTTGGTAATAATATCCAGCACTGCCCGCGAGGTGGTGTCCACCCGCTGTCGGGAGAAGAATACTGATGTGAGCAACGAAAAACAGATAAAGCAGAACTAAAAGTCAATTTGATGTGACGTCTTGCCTTTTCCATTTCAGTGAAGTCTTCATCGAGCTTCGTTCCCTCTGCTCCTCCGACTTTCTCACTCACTTTCTGCAGAGGAAAAAGACAATTGAAGAAAAAGTCATAAAGGCTTCTTATTTGTGGACGTTTTAAAGTGTTTTTCAAGGACTTCAGTTTTATATTACATTCAATTTTACATTCCTTGATACAATTCAAGATACAACTGCTCCTACATGATAAAATACATGAATTCAGTTATTTCTTTGTAAAAAAAAATTGGAAAATGATAATTTGAATGGTTTTGACCTTTGATTCCCTAAAAGTAAGTGAGTACAAAAATTTGTTTACATTTTTTTTCCTAAGACAAATGCAGTAATGTGGGGAGAAATGAAAGTCAAATATGGGTGAAGGTAAATATTAATACATTGAGTGACAAGTGGCAAAGATACAGTGTAGATCCATATGAACATGTCTTGTCTGCCTGTTAATAATATGGTCTGCAATGTCACCAAATGCCATGAGGGGGCAGACATCTGATACTACAAAGCCAAATTGCCCAGAAGGCAGAACATGAGAACAAATGATAGAAACAATAATAACTGATGTTGGAGGAAGCAGTCAGCTGTACACACATTTAGGTCGATCTAAGATGTTTCTGGAAGAAGAGGCAATGCCAGAAATTGCCCTAAATAAGAAAGCAAGAGTGAGAACACACACAGACACAGACAAATAGATGTGCAAGTTTCACAACCACTGAGCTGGTTGCCATAGAGACTGTTCTCTGTGTTCAGCTCTTCAGGGGGACCACAGTACATCTCACTTAGTCTTATAATAAATAATAAATAACTCTGTTTTGACGACCATCACTGCAAAGAACACGGCAATAATCTGAGCTGTGGATGTCTGTAAATTAGCTTAATCTGGTGTAAATAGGAAGTAGACCAGATTAGTCCACAGCTGTGCCACACAGTCTACCACTCCATGTCACACCTGGGCTAAATTAATGTCTCCAATGTTATTTTCCTTTCATATAGCGATCTGACTCATCAGTCATCTGTAAAAACCAAGTGGAGAGATTACAGGCGGTGGGAGATCAGAATGCGTGAGACTTTGAGGTTTAAGGTTTTTGTTCGAACACACATGGAGTGAAACCCATATACGTTTTGACAAGTTAATACAGGATCTAAACCCCCATCTGGAGGTGGGTTAGTTAATGACATTAGTTAAGGAGCCAGGGCACGTTACCAAACTAGGGGTCGCTGCGCAGTGAATACCGTGTTATGTGCCAGTGTGAACACGACAGTAGTTTTAACATCGTTTGATATTTTACTTATGATTTTGGTTGTAACTTAAAGAACAATGTCCCCTCACGACAACTACTAACTGGAAAATGCTTCAACCAATCAGTGATCACGCTGTTCTCCTAATCTATCGCTCCCTCACCCATTTCTCTCCTCATCGTGAGGCTGTCACATCGTCTCGGCCCAACAGCTCCTCACCCTTTCTGCAGGGGAAGGATGTGAGAAGGTGAAATAAGCAGCAGCGTTGGGTGAGTTCACAGGGTGACCCTAAAGGCTCTGTTTCCTGCCAAAAGGAGCGGTGGTAGAGATGATGCGTGACGTCATCTGTGATGTCACAGCTGACGACGTCACAGACCAGAGCAGATGTATCTCATTTCCTGTGGCAATGACGATGTCACACATTTGTGCTTAAGGCTGACCCGGATAAATACAATTTATCCTGACAGGAACACGACTGCCTTTAATGGAACTTGAGGTCACACTAAGACGCAGTCGCCACAGTCGGTAAGAACGGCTAACGTCAAACCCATCAATGTCAGAAGATTCACAAAGTGAAACGCTATCAATGTTGGTGAGGGGCAGCTGAAAACTGAAGCTTTACGGTTCATGTGAGGATGATGATCTTTATTTATATTTTTTTATTTTACTGCCGAGTGCACAAACAGAACCAGGCTGACTAACTGTGCTTAATGGAGAGAGAAAATCACCCCAGGGATCTGGCCAAAGGCATCAGGGCCGTCTGCCCCAATCCTCTCTCGCATTATCATCGTCATCATTATCTTCTCAGGGGTCAGACGACAGAATGGCCTGACGTGCTCTCACAGTGGATTGTTCTAAGATTACATCACTGCTTACTGACGAAAAAAGCACTAGAGCTATAACCTGCACCAGGTGACAATATTCATGAGGCAAAATTAAACAACATAATGCAACATAGGTCATTGGATCGTTGGATCTGTTCATTTTATTACTTAACATGTAATGCATCTGTTTATAGGGCGCCGCCCTGGTGGTTTTTTGTTGCAGCAACCCTGTGCAATTTTGCAACAATTTCCTAATGTGGTATTAATATAGTTCAATTGAAAAATGTTAGGAAAAATATGCGGAAGTATAACTCAACACACGAACACATGCTGGGCCTTGAGATGGTATTTAAAGCTCCTGCAATGTATAAATAACACTGTATTAGAGCAACGATTAGCAGAAGGACAGCTAAAAGCTAAAGTTCCAAATCTCAAATGTCCTACACCGCTGTTGGGAAGGACACATTTACAAGGGATTTTAACCCCCCTGAGGTCACATTGGTGCTGCAGAGTCCAACAAACAAAATTACCATCAGACACAAAAGACACGAAAGATAACCTGTTGTTACTGTCAGTTAAATGAATCACTAAATTACACGTTTTTATGGTACATTTAGGATAAAAAAAGATTTAGCCTTAATCCTCAGCTAGAGCTGACCGGGGTTTTCAGAACCAAAGGATAAACCTCGGAAGGACATTGATACTTTATTTATTCCAAATCCTTTAACTGTGCTTCGTGACCTAAGAATAGACCTGAGCCCTCGTCAGATTGTGAAAAACTCACGTGTTATTCTTTTAAATCTGCCGTCAACACAGCTTTGTCTACAGCTGTTCTACAACATGACTGGCAATAACGATTAACGACAACCACGCCATCGAGACCCAGAGAATCAAGAGCTGCGTACAAAAGGCAATCATTGAAGCCTTTGGATGAGCTGTTCAGATCAGACTGTGGGTTTCCTGACCACAGGCGGGCCGTAGAAGCATCTAGATCTAGACAGCACAGAGTGCCAGATGACTGCACCGTCAACTGGTACCTTGCATGTTACTTCCCTGACCTCTGTGCTTCCACAGTGAAGAGACTATTGCTGATTTAATCTGAGTCGTAAGCCGTTGCATCACTCTTATGTAACAAGACAGTTAAGTCTGTGGTCGGGGAGGACACCAAATCTGTCCACGCACCCGCTGGTAAATGGAGGGGAGGGGGGACCAGCTGGCACTGTGTGTGTATGTGATTTTATATATATATACTGTATATGTATGTAAATACAAATAAATACAAATATAAATATAAACAGAAATATATACAAATAGAAATATATACACATATATAAATATAAATATACAAATATATAAACATATACATATATGTATTTTTTTCCTTTTTTGAAGTAAGTTTGCAAAACTTGCGTATTTCCTCACAACTACTTGACAGAAAACATCACAGTCTATGAATTAGGAATGTTGTTTTATATATTTTTAAATGAAATTAAACTAGAATGGTAAAAACATTAAATATATTATTGAATATTTCATTATGAAAGTTTGTACAGCAGATTAAATGCACATATGTACGTAGTAGCACACAGTCATACATTTTACAGCGGGTGAGTCACAGGGACCGTCATGTGTCACCAGACATTTAGGTCAACGCTGATGTTTTTACACACAGTGAATCCACAACGTGAAGCTGCAGCCATTTTACAGTGCACACACACCTACAGACTGTGAGTCTCTACTGAAAACAACAACAACCATGAATCAAAAAGGATGGAGACAAACAACCGGATCACTGTGTCGCTCTACACTGAACACATTTCATCTGCATAACTGTCACATCAACGAGAAAAAAAAAACGTAATGAATCTAACACTCTACAGTGTGGTCTTTACAGCTTTAATGCAAACAAATTCAAATTGAAATAAAATATTTGATATTTAACTATTTGACTTCTTGCAACAACCTCTGAAATACACACATCTGCAGTACAGTATTCTAAGGCAAAGTAGTGCATGTTTCAGAATCGTATTAGTACGATATATCCACAGCACTGGACTGAGACAAATGTCCAGTGGAAAAAAAAACCTCACTCTGCAAAACACAGAGACAGAGTGAATGAACTGCACTGGTCTGACACATTATGAACAGGAGAAGAAGAGTCTTAAAAAGGCAGTTTAAAGGGATCTGACGAATCAGTCTTTTAAGCAAATGACTAACTAATATAGGTATTATATATTCCCACACTCAGAGAGTAACAGAGTCACTGTTAATGTCAATGTAATTCTAAATCCTTCTTTTTACTGTACCTACTCACAGAACAAATTATAGCAATTGACTTTAAATAACCACCTTTAAATAGTCACTTATAATAATTCTGCTTCACTCTGTGACTATTGTGAGGTTGAACGAGCGCAATTATGAAAATTACCACGTACGACACTAATTGCAATCATGCAGCGATGGATGAATTGTGTCATAACTGTTACGCACCGAAAAATGCACGTGTGCTGAGGGAACACCCGGAGGTGAAGTCAGGTATGAATGACAAAACAAAAGCTGTGAACAGACGGCAGTGACACAACGTGTTTTTGTGGAGGAAGTTAAAATCGGAGTGAGAATTGATTGTGTTCTAACGGCTGAGGTGAAAGCCCACGTCCTCATTGGTTTATTTACTGAACAGATTTTGTCCACTTATAATGGATGCTGATGTGAAGAGACCTTTAAAAACCAATGAGGCACATCCTGTTCCATCCTTACCCTCATTACTGTCCTTTCACGGGCAAAATTATGCAGAACTGAAGGCGAGCTGCTCCAGCTGCCTCCAAGCTCTGGCTCCAGGCTTGTTTTCAGACATCTGCATGGTGTGTTCATTTAACTCTCATCTGTTCAGCAGCTCCCTCTGCCTCCCTCCTTCTCTCTGTCTCGTTTCTAATGGTCTCTCAGCTCCTTTTCCACTAAGACACACGTTATTTGATTTTCTTTTTCT